TTTTTTTATCTAATTTATGACTTCAGAATCTAATTTTTAAGGAACACTATACTCTTATTTCTGATCTCATCTATGATTTCTTACACATACAGTCAAAGGTGACTTATTAATTTACTCTTTCTAGTAGTTACAGAAGGAAGAGAAAAGAACCATTTTAAAATATTTTCTAACAACTTACTGAACACTTTTCCAATTTATTTAATGTCTAGATTTTAAGCACAGTTCCATTTGCAATATGAAAAGTAACCACTTTGTTCTGAATGCAAGACACAAGAAAAGCTGTCAAAGCATTTCTAGGAAGCACTTTCCTACTGGACTTGGACCCCATTCAGGAAAGAAGAAACGGTAGAATTAGCATATTTTTATGATATAAAACTAATGCACGTAAGCATTTCCAAATTAGAATCTTCAGACCAAGCCAACCTTACTGATACTGAGTTTGCACTGTCTCTTTCATGACATAACCCTGTGTAAGAGCAGGAAGAGACTTAGCTACCATGTACTTGGATTCCATTCTCAGTGCAAATGAAAAACAAGATGTGCTGAGTTATGTACAGACTGGATTAGAATTTCTGTCAGTCTGAAGGACTAGTTTTTCACTGATGTCTTGCCCTTGGCGGGATCTTTCAACCCCTGGATAGCAGTTTATTTGCTCTGTGTTATTTATATGCACTAACACAGTTATATTTCAAACTTTAACATCAGCATTGAAGTCAGGAGTGTGTGCTCTCCACAGAGCCTGCCAACTGACTCAGCATGTAGTGACTTGTAGGTAAAAATATCTTATTGATAATTATTTATTGAGCTCCAACCACGGAGTGTGGATGGAACAGTGAATTACGTGCAACCAGTGGCTTTTAAACAAAACTAACACCCAATAGTTGTTAATAGACTAGAGGGGGTAGAAAGAGAATAATACAACCCCAGCACTGAAATTCCCCTCTCCATCCCTCATCCAGCCTTGCAAGCTAGACAGCAGGAACCCATCATATGGCATGGTGTAAGGGAATTATAACTCCTGAAAGTCTATCAAGACAATGCAAGCATAGTTCCCTCCTATTCTTGGAGGCAGATAGTAACCCTATCCCTTCAGTTGTCTTGGCCAATATAGATTGCCTCATTGGACCACGAGAGTACAAGCAGGAAGTGAACCCACCATCATGATTCTACCTACAGTTAATCTGTTATGCTGATAGTTAATCAAGGAAAGAGATTAAATTGTCCAATATATTATTAGCTGGTGTATGGGTACTTTTCTACTTCTGTTTGATAAAACTGTATTAACATTTTGTGACTCATATATGCTCTAGATTTATGCAAATCTCTTTTGAGTACAGAATACAAAATACACAGCTTCCAACTTTCCAAGTTGGCCAACAAGCTTGCTTTCCTGGAAATTATTATTATTATTTTAATTTTAAAAAAATCTGTTGAATGAAGCAGAGAAAAGTTCAGTCATAGAAATGCTCATGACTCAAAGGGAAAAATCAAGATGTTGAGGGGCTTTTAAATGAAGACTTCCTGAATACAGCAACAAGGTTTTAAATCTTAGAAATGCTGTGACTCAAAGTAAAAACAAATACTCTAAGGGTCTGACATATAATTGATCTGTTTGACAGACAATTTTCTTGGCATTGGTTTGACTCCTCCAAGTTACATCTATGAAAGCTGTGTACTCAGGTGAGAGCTGGCTAAATTCTTTGGTTCTAACAGAATACCTCACCAAATTAAGGCTTCAAATGGCTTCTTCTAAAACAGGTGACGGGTAGAATCTGTTGAAAGATATATAAGCAAATGATTGACAGGGCTTCTGAGAACGTGGCTGTGAGAAGCATTCTTTCTGGCAGTCTGGGTTGATGCGGTGAGAGACTGTGGTAAAACAGTCCTTCCTCTCTGAGAATAGCACAGCCTTCTTGTTTAATTCTCACACCTGGTTCGCCAAAGCCAGTTTTTCCTTCCCCTCAGAACAAATGTAGTGGAAGTAAAATACAGTGAGAATATAAGCCAGCCAACAGTAGCTGAGTGTCTGATATGGATTTCACATCTAGCAGTATGGTAAAGTGCACCACAGGAAGACCCCCTCAAAATGTCCTGATTTTTTTTTTTTTTGCCACGTATGTTGAATTCTTCTCCTAATTCTTCATAATAGAATTCACTGACCTTATAACATGGCATTCAGACACTAGTATTGATCTGGGAGCATCTTACCCTAGAGCTTAGGAGGTTTCAGGGGCTGGTATCTTGGAAACGCTCAGGCTGTGTGCAGAACTCATGATAATCAGCAGTCTGAGAGAGACTCAGAACAGAATGGGGACTGAAGATTGAGAGAAAATGATGGATGGCAGAGTCGCTTGCTCCTGCCAGGGCTCTCTTGGATCTTAATGCTTCTTCACTGATGGGATAAAGTACTTCAGAAATGTGGAGTATTATCCAGTGGCAGGACATTCCCTTCGTTTCCAAGGGAACAGAGAAATAAAGTACCATTCCACAAGTTTCATACTTATTCATGTCTCAAATGTCATTTAGCAATATCATTCAAAATCCATTTACTTAAGAACATCATTGAAGCTGCAAAGTGCATGTGGTAAATCACTGAGAATTTCAGCTCTACTAATTGAAGTCATTTAGAAAGTGTTTGAGTAGAAATTTAGTTTTATTTCATCTAAACTTAAAACAAAAACAAAGCTAAGTAAACATTAGTAATGTAACAATGCTTACAAGGGCTGTGTCTGACTATATCCACATGTTTATGGGTATCTATTTGCATATAATTATAATCAGTATATTAGTCATGAAAAGGTCCCACATAGCTTGTAAAGCTTTCTGAGGCCATTAATAAGTTATTTTATCATAAGACTGTAACTCAAGTTATTTTCTATACAGTGAGATGTTCCTATATGTAAACCTTATCTCGACAGCATTTAAGTAGAAATGGAATAAACATGAGTTTCAAAACAGCATTATGCTTGGTAAATAAGAATTTTGATGCTATTTATACTGCAAATGCTAAATATTTTATTTAAAATAGTGTGTGCTTCTAGTGGTAAGCTCCATGCATATGAGGATATCAACTTGTCACAATGGAAACAACTGGGAAATCATCTGTTTTAACCAGAAATTGAGATTTCTGTGAGCTACCAGTTTAGGCATAACTTAATTTATATAAAAAATTTTTTATCATTTGGGCACATTCTCAGTAATTTGCCTTTAACAAGTTCTGATTTATTTTTTTTTAATTAAACATTGGAAACAGCACTGTTTCAGTAAAAGAGAAGTCTAACTGTTTCAGTAAAGTTTCAAACTATTTTCAAAGTATGTTTTCTCACATTGGCTAACATGTTGCTTATCCAGGCTCCTGGGTTGTGCTTCTGTTTTTTGATAAAAATGTAACTTTATTGTAATGAACTATGTGGAAGTTAACTGAAATGTATAGAGTCTGGGATAGGGCAAGTGTTTAATTTTGTGGCAACTTTGTTCTAGCTGTGTGTGTGTGATGTTTGTATTGATGATCTCATTACAGTAAAAGTGTGCCTTTGTATTATTTATAACATTATAAATATTATTGGTTTATAAATCATTTACAAACATTGTTGGTATGATGTTTCTGTTCCAGGTGACAGCATTTTATTTTGAAAGTAATGAGTCTTTTTAAGATGCATGATGTAATTACTCATCAAATTACTATTTTGATAGCCAAGAATGAGATATTGAGATGTGATATACCATTTGCTATTACTCTTCTTTTCTCCTCTTCCCACAGGGTCAGACTATGCCCACTCAACAGGCTCACCAACTTCTCAGCATTTCCAGCCTTGAGTTGTGCTTCTAGGACCAACAGGGATAGAATAACTCTATTACTAGTACAAGGAATGAGGGTGGCCAGGAGGAAGGAAGGGAGAGAAGGAGGGAAGGAGGGAAGGAAGGAGGGAGAGGGGGAGGGGGAGGGAGAGAAGCCGGGATCTGATTCCTTTTCTTTGTTCTCAGTGTCATTGCCCAGCATAGAAAACTTATGTTGATGAAATTAAGAAAAATGCACTTATTGGCAAGCCTGATGAGCTATTTCCAGTACCTTCTATATGGCTATTGTCTCACACCTGGCTATTGCTTATTGGGTAATATGCATCTTTTCCAGAGTGTTCCCCTCAAGGATCCTGTAAGGTGCTCCTTCCTCTAGGTCTATCTCTACATGTGTGTGGCCCAGACTCTCTTTCTCCAAAGCAATTATCATCTACTTGTTTATGTTATAAAAATCTTCATCTTAAGGTATAATCCTCTTTTTTTTATCCATAGAGTTTTTATTCCAGGACTAACCACAGATAATAAAATTCTTAAATGCTCAGATCCTTTATATGAAACACCAATTTTGCTCAAAACTATATGCATCTTGTACATGTACAGTATAGACATAATTCAGTTCACTCTGAATTCTTCCAATAAAACCTGAGTAAATCAATAGATAGAGAACACATTAACAGAGGGTTGACTGTATTAGTAATGATTATGAATATGTAGTATATAGTTCAGAACAGGATTGTCTTGTAGGATTGGCTATAGTGACAGAGCTGTTCTCCATCAGCATTTTCCAGTACTCCAGTTGCTGGCCACATAGAGTTGGTGAGCAGGGAGCATGGTTAGTGTCCCCAAGGAATGGGATTTTTTCATTAAATTAGACATTTTAATTAGTATGAGCTTAAACATTGTGAACAATGGCTACCTTATTGGGTAGCATGGTAGAAATCCCCAGATCTTATTTTACTATAGTGATGACTTGGGGAAGGAGGTGTAGATGACTGAGATGAAGGTAAGTCTTTGGCCGCCCACTGTAAATATCCCATTTCATAACCATTTTCAGAGGGGAAAGTTCTTCTTGACTTAGGCAATGCTGCATTATTGCCAGTTGCAAATCCCATCTATAGTGAGCATCTTAGGAGAAAATGAAGTGTTCTGTGGCTCACATATTTTGACACTCTTTCTCCCCCCTCACCTTTTTCCTTCCTCAGGTTTCAAAAGAAGACTTCCTGAACTACTATGCAGGTGTTAGCGCTTCTATCGACACAGATGCTTATTTCGTTTTGATGATGACAAAATCATGGAGATTATGAATTTTGCTTAACCATCTTGTTGGAGGAAATTGAAAACTCTCAGAGAACAAAATGAGTTTGTAAGGAGTCCGATATTATGGATCTTAATAAGATGCAAACCAACTCTAGACAAAGAACTACAGGCAACTGAAAACTGCCAAGAGAACTTACTTCCAGTGATGAGACTTCTGATTGGTTAGCCAATGTATAGTGGTCAGCCCTGAAATCATATACTCCTAAGCAGCTAAAATGGGCTTAGAAAGTTGTATTCATGTATTTGTGCATGTATCTATCTATCTATCTATCTATCTATCTATCTATCTATCTATCTATCATCTATCGATCTATCTATCTATCATCTATCTATCTCAATAATAAAAGAAAAAGAGTCCATCAGTTTTAGAGAAAGGGAGGACACAAGAGGGGTTGGAGGGAGGTGACATGGAAGAGGTTGAAGGGAGAAAAGGGAGGGGGAAGTGATATAATTGTGTTTTAATTAAATATATTTTAAAAGATACAAATTATAATGTTTGAAAAATCTAGAATTTTAGTTGCAAGAGATCTCCAGTAATCTTATTAAGTACTGAAGTGTATTCATCTCCACAAATGCTTGGGAATCTAGTTTTAAATCAGTGTGAAAGGAAGGAACAAATGAATGAAGGAAATTATGAACTGAGATTGGGAAGTGGTTTTTGTATAAAAATAAATCACTTGTACTAGATATTTCTGTTGTAGATATAAATATAGATGCTCTCCACACTTGTGTTTTTCCTTGTTTTGATGGGAGTAAGATCTAACTGCAAAATTTCATGAATTTACTTATTTTACTATTTCTCTTGAAAAGAGAAACAAAGCATAGATTTTATTAAGAGATTTTCTATTCATTTTACATACCAACCACAGATTCCCCTGTCCTCCCCCTTCCAACCCCCAGCCTTCCCTCCCAACACACCCCCCCATTTACACCTCCTCCAAGGCAAGGTCTCCCATGAAAAGTCAGCAGAGCCTGGTACATTCAGCTGAGGCATGTCCAAGTCCCTCCAAGGCTGCACAAAGTGTTTCACCATAGGCACTAGGCTCCAAAAAGCCAGGAGTCCAATCCATGAGAGAGAGGAGGGATTCTATGAGCAAGAGACCACAATTGGAAAAAGTACAGAGACAACTGTACTTTTTCTCAATAGACCATGATTAGAAAAAGTACAGAGACAACTAGCCAAACTAGTGGAAACACATGAACTGCGGACCAATAGCTGAGGAGTCCCCATGGTACTGGACTAGACCCTCTGGATAAATGAGACAGGTGTTTAGCTTGAACTGTTTAGGGGGCCCACAGGCAGTGGGATTAGGACCTGTCCCTAGTGCATGAACAAAGCATATTTTAATTCTGAGAAGTATGATTTTATTTAGTTCCAAACTTTAATGCAAGGTTTTAAACTCAGCAAATTCCCATGTACAAGAAACACAAATATATGAGGAAAGGCACATGTGCTAGGGTAATCTACCAGGTCAGACAGTGGATTTTCAAGGAATAAGAGCACTTATCAGCTCAGCAAAGGAAAAAAGGAGTAATGGCTACAAAGCAGATGTGTTTTGAAGCTTCACCTTAGACTACAGAGATAGGTTTCATATCATTTGGAGAATTTTTCTTCCAGAATTTTCTATGTGTACAGCATTTACATTATGTCCACCCCTCCTTCACTGCTCTAAGTCCTCCCAGATGCCCTCCAGTATCTCTCAAATTCATGATCTCTTCTTTAATTATGATTGTTACACACACATGTACCCCCTCCCACACACATAACCTACTGAGTCCATCTTATTTAGTGTTTAGTGATAGCCTTTGGCATTGGATACTTTAGTGGGGGTCTTGTCCATGAAGATTCACCTTCTCTCAGAAACTGCTGATTTAACAGTAGTTCTTAATGTAGGAGTGGGGCCTTGTGAAGTTGCTCTCATCCATATTGACATATTGACTAGTATGGTCATGAAACAGGTTTTGTTTATACAAGCATATTGTTGAAATTGCATTAAGTGTATCTAAATGACTTTCAGGTACCCTACACAAATCTGCATTACAGTTTTGGAGGTTGAGTGAACTTTCAGTGATAATTTTCTTGATTATCAGAGCTAGATGAACATTACTCTTGTCTACAGGCCCTTCATGGTAGAGAACTGGAAGAAATGAGTGGGAGAAGACATGGAAGCATGCATCTGTGCTTCTCATCCTTCACTGAGCATGTGGACACCTGGGAATTTTGTTAGCATGCTATTTCTGATTCAGAAGTTTAGGGTGGCCACTAAGCTACAGCTATTTAACAAGTTTCATTATGATGTTGGTGTCTTTGGTCATCAGAGAAGATTTTGGGTGGAGAAGGGTAGAAAGTTTCCAACTGGTGTGTTTTTGGTGTTTAGTAGACTATTTTACCACCTTTACTTGTTCATCATAGCTGATAAACTTTGACTGCAGGGTCACCTATCTTTTCCTAGTCTTCACAATCACGAGACTATGAAAACAATGTTACATAGGCACGGGCAGGGGAAAAATAAACTTCCAACTGGGGAAATTGTCAAAATTCAGGACTGGATAATGCAGACTCCTAGCTCATCATGGTTGGTGCTAAAACAAGAGTTTGACCACTGATCAATTATGGCAAATACAACCCTCCTGTTTCCTGATTAGACCAAAGAGTTTCCTGATTGGATCAAAATAGTCACACAGGAACACTGAGATCATGTCAACCCCATCAAACAAGAGTAAAGGCCATCACCCAAATTTTTGGTGGAATTAAACTCTATTTTCTGTCAGACAAGACTATCTCCCTAAATCAGAGTTTGAGACAATAGCAGTGAACACAGGAGACAGTGGGGTTCATATAGCTTAAAAATCTGCAAGATTAGGGGGCTTCCAAGGGTTGGGGGATTTTTTGGTTGTGTACAAATTTGGCTGAACATTTCAAAATTATTTGGCAAAACATATCAGTATCCCGTATAGAGTATCCTGTCTAGATATCAGTCAGTATGAAGAAGTACAAAACTGAAGTCTTCCTGTCCTTAGCAAATATAAAACTAACCTATATAACCTTGCAAGACAATGATTTTCTACTTAGCAAATACTATCACCTGAGTCTATTGCTATCATTCCAGTACTTAGATTGGTGCTACAACAACCCAGTAGCAACTCTTCATTTATCTGTTTCCATGGAATGCAGGGATACATTTCTCATTTATCTAAATTAGGAACTTTCTTTCTGAAGGGTGTTGAAATTATGTCCTTATCACAATACTATAAACTAGTTATTTATTAATGTTGGCAAATGAGAAAAATTTTATTCTAGGGGCAAATCCATCATTTGAATGCTAATTACAGTCATGAGAGATTTTTAGTCATATGGATCAGAGCAAAAGCTTTGAATATTAAAATAAGAGTGAAATTAAGCTGTTTCATGCACACATCTTGCCAGTGACACCATAATAGACTATAAAGATGTTCTCTGGCCTTTCTTTTTGAATATCTACCTGTAGAAAGAATGCTTCATTTTAGTTTCTTTAATATAGATAGTCATGAAATTGCTCAGGATACAGTCAACCTTGACTATCAGTGATGCTCGGTTTCTTTAGGGTGTCTTATATACATCTGGTTAAACTATTATTTTTTCATATGCTGAACTCTTTAAACCCACCTCTCTACAGCCATTGTTTTGTGAGATGGGAAGTGTTTGGTGAAGCATTTTTAAGTCATGTAGGCAGAACCCTTGCTAGCATAATTAGTCTCACAACATTAGCTTAATGAAGTTTTTCACTGTGTTCTTCGTGTAAAAATACAAGATGATACCAAAAAGAATTTGGACTTTGAACTAGGGCAGATTCCATCGTTCAGTGTCTTGATTTTGTCTCCTAGCTTCCAGACTGTGAGAAACAAGTTAATTTTGCTGATGAGCAACCAAACCCATTGTATGTTGCTATATCAGGCTAAGCAGAATAAGGCATCTGAGTTCTTCTTAGTTTTATTTAAATTGTAATAATAATGTCAGTGTTTCTTTGTGATTATTTTCTTTTTCTTTTTCTTTTCTTTTTCTTTTTTGGTTAGAGTGGTTTATTGTAGCAAGAGAAAGAAAACTAGAATATTTGGCTAACCAGTATGCCCCAGGGATCCTCCTGCCTCTGCCCCCCGAGTGCTGGGTTTTTATTTTATTTTATTTTGTTTTTATTTTACAATACCATTCAGTTCTACATATCAGCCACGGATTCCCCTATTCTCCCCCTCCCACCCCCTCCCCTTACCCCCAGACTACCCCCCATTCCCACATCATCCAGGGCAAATCCTCCCCCGAGAACTATGATCAACCTGGTAGACTCAGTTCAAGTAGGTCCAGTCCCTTCCTCCCAGACTGAGCCAAGCGTCCCTGCATAAGCTCCAGGTTTCAAACACCCAACTCATGCAATGAGCACAGGACTTGGTCCCACTGCCTAGTTGCCTCCCAAACTGATCAAGCCAATCA